CTAGCGTTTCTCTACATCATTATCCGACCGAATGACGCGGATTTTACTAACTACACATATAGGTGTCGATCACCGTCTTTAGTTGTCAGTGTTACCAACTCTCGGATTGTTGCCGCGGGTTATGAGACTTCCTTTTCCTTCGTGGAAAGATACCGAGAATACGTCTCAGAAATATTTACAAGTGAGGTTGATTGGTGCATCTGAAGAATGATAATGATAATATAGATAGTTGTCTTTAAAAGTAAAACGGAGCCAGCTTTTATCACTCCTAAAGGAATTACAGTCCTCCCACTTGGTTACATGGCTGCGACGATGGAAATGTCATGTTTATTTAACACATTGTTGGTCACCGTGGTTTCAATAAGTAAATCTGGGGATTTCTTGGTACATTTCTCGGTATTTTTAACTGAAAGCTCCAGGCTACACTGACACTCACCCACTCTCTATCGGTTATTATACACCCTCATTTCAAGAATTAACCCTAAGGGCGACCACAGGTTCCTCTTGGTTGTCACGTGGGCGTGAAGATAGACGTAAGAATGTTCGCGGAGTGATACTACTATTCATAATTTCCATACTTTGCAAAAATCTAACTTGTTCTCATTCAATAAGCAGTAGGCTGGGGATATTTATTTGGTTGACATGCGAAATATGGCCGACTTTCACTCTCCTCTCTCGAATCCGCCACTGATTTGTTTATTGTTATACAATTATTAAGTACAATGTTGCCCAACGGAAATATAAATCAAAGTGTAGCAACATGTTGCTACAATTTCGGTCTAGTTATATTATAACCCAAGAGTTCAAATAGTCTATTTAAGTAAACAAATAACATGGTCATTTATGAAATATTCAATTTTCATAATTGAGGTGTTGGTTGAATCAAATAAAAAGTTGAAGATACCGAGTTGAATAATGTAACTATTGAAGCTTACCAGATTTTTGTGTCGCTGATTCATTTCCATATTGCTCTAGTAAGCAGGTTTATAATGTAGCCTCAATGAAGTAGCTTGTGAATATTGTATGAAAACTGATCACCCAGTTATAAATTTTGTTAGTCTAAATGAAGACGCCGTAATCCGTGTTATATTAAAAAATAAAATGTCATCCGGTCCAAATAATATGTACTCCTTCCTTGTTGGCCGAGAACTGCTCCCGTGTATTAGCTGAACCGCTAACGAAGAATTTTAATTTGTCGCTTAGATCTGGTAGATTTCCGAAAATGCGGAAACAAGCTAGAATGTATAATCAAACACAGCAAAGATTGAAAATTATAGAGGGGTATTCATACTTTGCAACAGTTTCTAAATCTTTTGCAATAAATCAGCATGGTTTTATTGATAAGCGATCTACAGTTACCAATTTGATCACAATACATTTCAAAAGTCTTGGACGAACAAGGACTAGGATATATAAACAGATTATTCCGGAGCTTTTGACAAGGTTTCTGATAATAAACTATCGCCAAAGCTTTCTGGTTATAGCTATTCTGTTGAAGTTATAAATCGTTTTATGTCCTACTTGTCCGGCAGGATCAATTTGTATTATATTTTGGATATAGGCCATCTTCTATGTTAGTTACGTCAGATGTTCCGCAGCGATCCAACTTAGGCCCTCTCCTATGCATTTTATATGTCAATTACTTATTGGCAGCGATTAAATGTGATGTATTGTTTTGCCGATACCAAATGTGTTCCAAGAAATCGTAAAATAAACGGAGATATCTTGTTGTTACCACGTACTGGTGCGACAATGATGATAACCGTCATCTTAATGTGCAAAAATTTAAAGCTATATCACATAGTAGGAGAAGCATAGATGTTAAGCACAAATACATGATCAAAAATTCTGAAGTACAGAGTCGCCACTTATAATGATTCTAGGTTGACATTTGCGGAACACACTGAGCAGAGCTCTGAAACTGTATGCTCTCATTGTACGAAACTGTGAAGGCTTTTCAAATATCGATGTGATTAGGTCATTATTCAACTCGCTTGTACGTCCCAAACTAGAATATGGATCTGTATTGTGGGATCCTTTATATGAATGATTTGCCGTTGCATTAGAAAGGGTTCATCGCAAGGCTCTGAAGTATTTGGCTTTTAAAGTTGACTAAACTGACCCAGAACGAGGTATAGCCTTACATTTTGTACAAAACCTTACGTAATGGCATTGAGCAGGAGCAATATCGGACATCGCTGTCATTCTCATAACAATTTCTGCGACGTCAATAACTGTTGTCAGCAACATAAGAATAAGCTCATCTGCCTGGTCATTCTGACTGTCAAACTGGCATTCTGTACAACCAGAACTAGCTCAAATAGCCACGCAATACATGCCGAAGTTACGGTACTGTTTGGTTAGTAACGCCACTGTTTTAACACATTCATACGGTCACGCGCGTAGAATAATTAAAAACGCTTCCTGTATATAAAATGAAATAGCGTTCGTTAGAACATAAACTCCATCCCACAAATTTGACAGGTCACGCTAAAAAATATATTGGGTCGTATTTTTTGCATGGCATATGATAATGCCCTTGCGTATATTTATTTGGTTAATCTGCCAGTTAACATGTATTTAGTATTCCCGCCTGTTGAAGCTTCCACGAACTTTTTGTGGAGACTGACTTATGAATATTCATTTAGTATGTACCATGTGTCGTGTACCGAATTTTTAGACATTTTGACAGCAAAATTCTACGAACACAAAACAATTGACATGCTGACTAAACGAACATTTTCTCAGAAACATGATCCGTTGGCTTATCAGGATGTTTGTTTTTCCGTCTCTGTGAACATAACTAACCGTCCACAATGTTGTCCATGCTTTCCAGCAATCATCAGTAGTGCAAGATCAAATATGAGTATCGCATCAAAGGTGCCCTAGTTGCCAGGCCTCACCTCCCCACTACTGGAAAACTCCCACGTGGTGGTCCGTTGGTACGTTACAAAGTTGAATGTGAGAAGATGTGTATCTGATACAAAAATACATATAGCAGGTTATACAAAATAAAAAAGTATTTCATAGATGAACACGAAAAAAAAATCCGAAAACTCTTGCGTAGAGCCACAATCTGCTATCAGTTATGAGGAAGCTCCAAAAATCCCAAGCTTCTATTTTAAATAGCGCCTCGCGATACATAAGCTTTTTTAAGAGCCATATTTGAAATAAGCATCTCAAATTACCATATTGAACTGAGTTCTGTCTGCTTGTAACACTAGGTGCCGAACACATAAATTTTATCTTGGAAACACTAAAGGTAAAAGCTTCGGCATACTTTTGGTAAAAAAAAAACTCAAAAATAAATGGCCAGAACCCGTTTCGTCGGTAATCACGAATCTCATCTCAGTTTTAAAATGAGATCAGCGAGATACCCCAAAAGTCCGACGTTCCTATTCCTAAAAAGCTTTTAGGAGAGAAAAACGTTATAGTTTAATAATACGACTAGGAATTTCAATTTTTTTTACATATCTACAATCTCCAGTGCGGGTCCGTAAATCATGAATGTGACATCAGATTTTTATTATGATTTGTTGAATAATATAATAGCATCTATTGGCTAACAGAAGTTTTGTAATTGTATTTACAGAACAAAGAATCGAAATCTGGAAAAGCTTAAAAAAACAATATTAATTTGTTCAAATTCGAGAGAATAAACAAACAGTATAATATGTATAACGCTATTTAAGGTGCTGTCATAAAACCCTCTTGAGTCGAGGCAGAGAACATATAAAGATTATAATTACTGCATATTCTAGATTTTAAAGCTAAGTTGGTTTTTTAACATGTCTTTGGAATTAAAAATTGGAGCTGGGATAACAGGCCTGGGGAATCAGCAACACTACGTAAAAGTTTATATGAGAATATCACGGAGTTGTGTTTTATTTTCAATATTTGCACGTCCTTATTTTTAATTAAAAAATAAAAATAAATTAAGTTTTCTCTCACTCAAGGAAGCAACTTGAAATCTTTCCAACAATACTTGGTAGTCCGACCCTTGCTGATGATAAGCTGAATCAATCTTGAAAACCAAGTACTAAAGAAATTTCTCCAAATCAACCAAGCATATTCCAATTTGGAACATACATATACAAAGTATAATGTTTTTAACGCAGTTCAGGTTTTAATAAATTTGCGGTTTCTAACAATAAAACCGAAAATTCTATTAGCACTATTTACAATTTGAGTAATGTGATAGTCAAAATTCATCCTACGGCCTGAATCACAAACCGCATCGTGCTGACTGGTGACATTTCCTCCGATAATCTAAGGCTAAATTAATATTTGTTTATTCAATCGACACCAATCTTCCAAGTCATAGGCTGTTTCACAATGAATATTGCTACTCATATAGTTAACACAGAGTAAAAAAAACAAGTCCCAAATACGAACCCTGTAATACCCCTGAAGATGCTGTATAGGGAAAAGACTCGAAGCCATTGTATGATGTGAGTAGCTGACGATTATGTAATAAGGTCTTTAATAAAGATATCAAGTTGTCAGTGAAACCAAATTCAAATTGGCAAGAAGTATCCTGTGATGGTCGTATTTGAGATCCCATATTATCCCCAATAACACGAGTTCACTGGTAAAAATGGACGACGAAAATTGAAATTTTGTCTTCGCTTTATCTCTATCCTTGGAAACACCATTTATAACGCTCGCTGAATTCTGCTCCACCCGGTATAATATTGTAAGGACACATATTATCAAAAAAGCAGATTGGTTATAAATGCAGACTCATGAAGAATGTGTAGGCATTAAGGCACTAAGCATGAATAATCAGAGTTAATAAAGCTTCCCTTGCTACGAACCACCTATTATACATACAAAGCCTTCAGCTTGTATACACATGTCTTCTCACGGCTAATTTACCCTCGTGTCATCCCTTCATTGAAGTTCGTCACGCCTGGAACATTGGAGAAAACTCCCCGGCAAACACCAGTAAATTCCTTCGTGATCCTACGCACATTAAACTTCCATTTATTTTGTTGCAGAGAAGGAGAGATGTCCTGAGCCTGCTTTTACTCAGCGAGGGCGCGACTATGAGGACGTTATGGCGCTATCTTCGGGCTTACCGTCTCCTCCTCAGCTGGATGCTGTCGCTCGCTTATGTGGGCTTCGGAGCATTGGCTGTCGATCCTTGTAAGTATACACTTTGTAAGCATTCACAGATGGGCAGCCGTAGTCGCTCTTTGGCAAAATCATTTTCTTGACATAATAATAATATACTCAGTGACATTAGAAGTATTACACCCAGAAAAAAAACAATTTGTTCAGCTTGATTTTTTTGACAATGAGACAGTCTTACATCAAGAATGAAACGATAACATTCTTACGAAATTTTATTCACAATAAAAAAATAATGTGTTGGGCGACCACGCAGCTAAATACACTCCCGTATACGTCTAGGCATCGACAAAATGAGATGATCGCGGTCTGGTTGTGGCACCTCATTCCGAGCAACTCAAAGTTCGTGAATTAGCTGTGGCGGATGGTGCAAAGTGGAGTCTCCTCCCCTTCGTATCCCACACATGTTCGATGGGATTTAAATCCGGTGAACGAGGTGGCCACGGCAAAACATTAACGCCTGCTTCTTGAGGAAAGTCCGTAGTTCCACGAGCAATATGGGGAGGTGCTTTGTCTTGCTCAAAAAGGACATGTGGACGGTCCTCTAGATACGGCAGTAAAGTGGTTTGAACGACATTATCAACATAAAGCGCAGCAGTCATATGCCTTGAACAAAGAGAAGGGGTGATCGGCTACCATAGGCAATAGTCCCCACTACTCCAACAGTCCTGTGTACATGCCTCTCAACAGCAAATCCAATATCACGCCGTTCTCCATGGCGGCGTCTTACCCTTAAGCGAACATCGTTTGTACCTAGACAGAATCGCGATTCATCGCTGAAGATGCCATTCTGCCTCCCAATGTTGCTGTCCTCTGCTCCAGTTCAAACGTTGACTGAAGCGCCTATCTTGACGCTCTGTGGCACGCGATAGACCAGTTGGCCTTCGTGTTCCTCTACCTTCTTCTATCCACACACGACACACACACTCATTACCGACATTGCTGTACTAGCACCGCCATAGGACAAACCGACATCTCGAAAGGCAATAACTCTACCCCTATCAAACTCGCTAACATGGTCATAATTTGGACGTCTTCGAACTCAAGGCATTTTGTTATGCTCAACACTAATAAATGAAAGGGCAGTAACTAAAATATCTGAACTATTCAGCTTTCAGACACTGCTTTCTTCATAAAAACTAAGAGATGACATGTTACTACCGGTAAACAAAAGCAAAGATACATTGTTTCCACAGCATGATTTAAATATAGTCATTACGTTGCCAAAAAAAAACAAGTTGAATAAATTATTTTTTTTCTGGGTACAACACTTCTGATGTCACTACTAAGTATGAAAAGGGTCCTTCATGAAAGGTTTGCTCATGAAATTGTCCAAGAAGCTGGCGTCAAGCAAGCGTCATACAATTGGCTGACTCATGGGCAGTTCCAACCGGAAATCAATCAATCACCATTCAGGTTCAGCAATTAGCGTAAATGTATACTCAAAGATGGAACACATAACGATATATGTCGTAAATGCAAACGAGTAAGTGAGTCAGTACAACACATTATAGGATGATGCCAGGCAATATCCGAAACGGAGTACAAGTTCAGACACAATAAGGTAGGGAAAACCATACACCAAGAACTGGCAATGAAATTCAAGCTACTAAAAAAATTACTACCAGTACGAACCAACAGTTATTCTAGAAAACCAAAACTCTGAAATCTACTGGGACGGAACCATTCTAACAGACGAAAGAACCGAGCACAACAGTCCTGACATAGTGGTAAAGGACAAAAGTAAATACAATTCATCTGTGCTTTGAAGTGAAAGATGTGGACGTATGAACGAGCCCAAAGATTTCCAATTAGTCCCAGCTCATGCAGAAATCTGTAATCCTGGACACCTGTCATATAACACGGCGATTCCTGTACATGTGAAGGCAAATAGAAGATGTTACAACCGTGACTGAGACGACAGACTCGTCCAGCCATGAGAATCCGATTAAATAGGTCATGAAACAGGGGAGTAATAATGATGTATTGCTTTTATTGCTCATATCAGTACAGAAAAACAAGACAACATAATTCTGATGCGATTAGCAAGCGCCAAGGTTCGCTTGATTGGTAACCATTACTTGTCAAATTGTGCTGCTCTTCCTCAGAACATCTATTAACTTGACAAGAAGATACCTCATATTCACTACAATTGAGGCACTGAGAACATATCTGGTCGAAAAATGTATTACTAGGAAAATTGGCTTGTCTTTTTTTTACTTTGATATACGCTGTAAAGCTTTGTATTTGATCTTGCCAGTCATTTGGCTAATTGCCACTTTTACCCTGTATTTTATTCCCATAAGGCTGCACCTTAAATAGCATGGCTGAATAGTTTCCTGGTCCGTTAGCTCCTGAAACTGTTATACTCCCAACTTGCTGAAACTTCGATCCAGTAGCTCAACATTAATCTTGCGATAGTTTGAAGCTTTAGATGAAATTTATCATTAATCCAGCCGGTAACGAAACTACCTACTCCAGTTTATCCTGGCAGTTCTGTCAACAAATCTTTCGGCTGCCTGTTCCCTATAAATTATCCTTTGTTTACCGTCGGCTAAGTCCCAATAACGACACGCCGCTATACCATCGATTTTTCCGTCGATCTCTTCCAATAAACGATAGGTTACAAGAGGATGATGGATGTGGATACCATCGAAGGTCTACGAGGGGTGTTAGAGATTTTCCCTATAGCAACTTGAGACTTTCAGGCAGTTGGTCCAAAGTGACTATTTTAAAATCACTGCGGGCTATTGAGTAAATACATAATGAATGTATGAATAAAGAAATTAGAGGCATACCGGCCACCATGAGGAGCCGGCACATAAACACTACATTCCCTAAGCCTGTAGCTCCACTCTTCTAGCGAAGTTGGGTATAGCCCTGAGTCCAAGCTCCTTGGTATTTTCGGAGCCTCACAGCGACACAGAACATGCACCAAGGAATCTTCTTATACACCGCAGAGCTCACACATGGGATCCTCAACCACCCCCATCATATGCAGGTGAAACCTTATCGTAGTATGGCCCGACAACAGTCCCATCAACAACCTAAGCTTGGCTGTATCCAAAAATAAGCAAAAGCGCCCATCCTTAACACTGTGACCTAGGATGAGCTCCCGTGCCTGATAGAGATGTCTAGATATGCTTCTCCATTTCATTATCTAGCAATCCACTTCTCCATTATCCTCCTGACTCTTTGCGCGGACACCTCTAGGGCTGGCTCAGGACCAACAACCTTGCTCACTGATCCTGCTTCCGAGAGAGCGTCCGCCATGTCATTAGCTTTTATCTCAGCGTGCCGCAGTACTACACTAACGATACCGGATGCCTCGCTGCTAAACTATCCTGTCGCTGCATAGATTTCTTCGCAGTTGGTTTAAGAAGCAAAATACCCTTCTGCCCTTTTCATAGAGAGATAAGAACATTGTTTCACGCACCGCGAATACCGAAAGAATCTTAAAATCTCCTATGGGCTACATTAAACTTCCTGAATATCAGTTTTACAAAATATATATGAGGTTCCTGGAAGTGCTGTCTGCGGTCAAATCGTTTAGTTGTTTCATAAACATGAAAAAAAACATGGAATTTCTATTTTGATGTGAAAATTCTATTTATCCGTAACTGGCCTTATGATACGGGCCTTCCTCTTTTGCAAACCTTCTTCAGTTATCTAGTATCAAGAATTCTCAGAATCTTTATAAAATGCCTATTTTGATTGATATTGTAACGCCCACTGTTACTTTGAGTAACGATGAAACGTCCTAGCAAAATCGACGCTTAGGCAACCCAGTCACTCCACCGTGCATCAAAAGTGCTATAGCTTGCAGCATGATCGAGATGGATCGACCGACATCGAGGGCGCTCAAAGAGTGACGATCGGCATCGTCTAGAACTTGGATGAGGCGCTGGCAGACTCTACACGATTTAAAGAATCTCACGTTCCAAACTCAAACGGGCCACGTGACAACTCTGCGAAAACCACCCTAAAGATTTATAATAGCAAAAGCCTAACTCTTCATATTCCCTGGTAGATCGCCATCTATCTGAGAGGGATGTAGCAGCTCCAGGGTAACTCTGACCACCAGGGGCTCAATCGCCAGTGGTGTATATGCAGTAATAATCCGGTGTGATTAGCAGTGGCCGTAATTAAACGGGATTAGAACGTCACTCATACGTTCTGTACTCGCTAAATGCAGGATTACACCACCGCCACCTCGCCGCACATTTGATATTTACCCGAGTGGAAGTTACATTTTTGATGGTCTCGGTAAGCCGTTGCTCATTGGTCGCTCGGAATACTCAATGGTGAAACGGAATGCAGACAGTACGTAATGTCAAGTAGAGGGAGGAAGAGGGTAGTTTTGGCTGACTAGATTAGATACAGGTACAAAGATTTTGAGGCTGCCGCTACAACGCAAGCCAGAAATAAAGTTTGCTCTTTGTTCACGTCAAGGTTTCGAAAATGTCTAGTTTCATCAGGACGCACTATAAAAATAATTCTATGAGAAATTCATCCAAATACAATATCGCTGAAAAACTAAATAAAAATGGTACCAAGTAGGTGGACTCAGTACTTCCCATGTAACGCCCTTAACAGTTCATAAGGAATATGTTTAGCACAAACTAGACTCTCTGAGGAAAACGTCAGTCAACAGGTATATGCAATTAGTCCACAGACATGCTTTACCTGCGCTACCGATAGTGTTTCTGGAAACGTCGCATATAATACCTCACTCGGGCACCGTGGTGGCGCGGTCAGAGCTTAGAAAACACTACGCTGTTGTGCGATAGAAATACGCGTGATTCCATCTCAGAGCAGTCATCACGACGCCAGCAGTGGTCGCGGGATCCGCCTCCCACCTCCGAATGCATGGCTTGATGTCCGGTTTCCTTCTTCCATTTTGCGAGTATGCGGTCATGCGTAATTTTGCAGCCCGCTTCTCACTTTCACCATCGTTTTTGGATATGCCAATTTGCTGCTTGAACTGGTTGTAACCGCCATTGTAGCTTTGGAAAATTATCTCGCTAAATATTTATGAATACAACATTATTTTTAAAGATGTCCACCCACGAAGTGCTCCATATTGATCAATATTCTAATATTTGTGACCCGTGAGTATGAATGTTGCTCAATAATATGTTTTTCTCCGTCTCTATAGCTTTGAAAATTTATCTCGCTAAATATTTATTAATATAATATAATTTCACCTTTTTTGGACTGCGTGTCTCGAAGGAAGAGTTTAAGGTCATAAATAGTTTTTCAGTGATATGCATTTGATTGCAGTTGTCATACCTCTGTATTCCGCCCAGATGAAAAAATCATTTGCGAAAGCTCGACCTGAACAAAGCACGAACTTCTTTTCTGACTTGAATTTCTTTATGTTGTGGCTGCAACCTCAAGATGCTCATGCTTGTTTAATGACAAGTCACCCAATATAGTTTCACAATCTTTCTCAGCAATGTTGCTGCACTTCTCTCAATAATTTCTGTTACAAATACAAATTATTTGTGGCACACTATACAGTAACCATAATATAATTCGAGTATTACGCCCATTGCGAATTATGCGTTTGGCAGCAAAGGTTGCTTGACCAATTGAGTACTGAATTGCAATTTTTTCCAAGATAAGGAACCACATAAAAGTACTACCCAAAATTGTTTCTCATTTTACAAACTCTACATTTTTTTCCAGCGCAATGCATTGCTCCACTGGGGATGGAGAATGGACAGATAAAAGACTCGGATTTGTCAGCCAGTTCTTCCTTTGACAGTGGAAACGTCGGACCACAACATGGAAGGTAAGTAGTTACCTATCCATTACTTTTACTGTGTGTAAAGTTTTAATTCCAACGTTAACCTTCTTTCTAGTGATACTAACATCAACTTCTATACATGCAGTGTTTGTAATTACGAATACTCTATCCACGTGATGTAAATATCACAAATGCATCAATGTGGTATCTAGAAATACTGCATAGGAAGCCACCCCAGTATCCATATATTCTGCAAATTTCATTATCTAGTTGAGCTACACATCAGCTGTAAAGTAGGTCACCGAAAAAAGGGTCGTCCACAACATGAAAATTTATTATTTGCAATTACCGCGTGAGCTCCATGGCAGTTATGTATTGGTACTGGTCATACTCCCTGTGCATTAATATAGCTAGCTCTTTATTTTAATTGCGAATTCACTCATTTATAATTCAGGCAATTTCATTGACAGTTTTAACTGATCGGTCAACCATGCTCACTAGAGATTCTTCGTAAGCGTATTTTCCAAAGTCGAGTTATGTTAAATCATAAATTCATATTACGCTGAAAAAATACAATATCAGTACAAGGTGAGTTTTCTAGTCATTGCGAAAACCTTGCTCAAGTACAGGAATATAAGCTGAATATTTTGATAAGAGTCGTTAGGTCCCAATTTTACTAATGACCCGCGGGATGTAAAGTCTTGAACTGGATCATAATAGATGAATGAGAAGGACTCTTTCCAGTAATGGATCAAATGAATATAGTCGATTTCTTCTAATATATCTGTCAAACTTGCGAAGAAATATACGAGTTGTGTAAGAATCCCCATATTAAATCGACAAGTTCTTTATAAATCACGTGGTTTAGCTACAAAACATATAGGAATTAGAGGCCCTTCCTACATAAATCGTATATTTTTCGCTAGATTGATATTTTAGAAAAAATCGACTATATTAGTTACATTATTTATTAGAACGACGCCTTCTTCTGATGATCCTGTTACTAAAATCGGGCTTAGAGGAAGAAAGCTTGAAATAGATGCTTAAGTGTCTTGAAAAGGATCTCATAAATCGCCAAAGAGGTTCACTATATTGAGATAGCTATTAAAATTTTTGGCAGAAATTAGTTACTGGATATACATAGAAGATAACCACATCGTATAGCACAACTTATCATTTGCGTCCTTGGAAGTAAGAGCGAATTCAAATAATGACTGATCCGTAAGTTTCTGGTTCATAAAAATTAAAAAACTAATATATCGTCGGCGTTCTGGCAAAATGAGGCAATACTCACTAAGTCCAGAAGTTGGTGTATAACTGGTTGCCAATATGTGAGAAATGCCCAAGTCACAATTTGACGTGTTCCATACCAAGCAAAAATGGACTTAAAACAGAACACTTAACACGCAGCGCGGAACCAACCCAGAAAAATAATTATTAAGAAATTAAACAATGTTAACAAATTAATTTCAGACCAAATACGATTTTAATTAATGGCACTCTAAAGGCTGTAAATATGTGTAGGAATCTTTTTTACAGTAAATGGTATTGCTCGTAATAGTTTATTTTCCTAAAATCTAGATTTTTCATATTTAGTGGGTTGGTTCCTTTCTGCAAAAATCCATCCAATTAATATTTTAATCAACGCAAGGAATATAAAATGTGAGTTTTCCATAAATGAAAAACTCCCTGTTACGTCACGGAAAGGTGAAATACATTTCCATTCCCAATTCAGCAGAAAATTGGCTCGACGTATTCGATTTTCTGCCTGTATTTGTTTAAGTACAGAATTACATTTTCCGAGTTATTGATTGAATCCGAGTACTTTTTAATTTTATTTGAAAGGACCGGAGTAAGGAAAAGTCAAGTGAGACACTCAAAGCGAAAGTTTTCCACTTATCGAATAAAAACTACTCCGAAAACTTGGGAAATACGCCTCCCTCGACTACGTGGGATCAAATTTAAAAACCTTTTCGACTGAAGGTAATGCATGTCGGCAAACGAGAAAAAGCTGGCGAAAAAGGTATTTCCCAGAACGCGCCATTGAAACGTAAACCATGTAGAGGTAACTATTGCCTATTCAGGGGTGTATCACGTTTTACGAAGGACATGCTATTTGGAAGACAAAAAAATCTGCTTGTCATCAAATACGTGTTTATAGAAGAGAAAAATCACTGGGTGCATCAGGCGTCATTCTAAGACTCTCAAAAAATAGTATTTGTGGAAGTTGTGAACTAGCTCACTTTTTTTACCAATAAGGATCTGACGCTGAATTAGGTTATCAAGAGCTGCAGCCATTAATTCGTCAGTGGGTCGCGCCACACTTAACGCGACCTTTGAGTATTGCCGTCATATTTAGTTACGTTACTTCCATATTAGTTGAAAGCTTGAGAATGTGTGAACAACACCATAATTTTAGCTGATGTCCCCTAATATTGGACATACTTTAAGTTGCGAATAGCTGACGGGGTACTACCGACCCCCTAAGTCAGTACCAGGAAACTCGTACTTTACAATACAAGCAATAGGAAGAACCATAAGCTGGATACGCAGCATCTACAGCTTGTTCACAATTTTGCGGGTTTGACGGACTTTACTCATTAATGTTCCATATATCCATACTGAGGAAAAAACGTGGGTGAATATATCTTTCATTTACTGGATAGCTTGTCTACATTATAGAATGACAATCGAGAGCCCGCTTCAATAAACCGGACGTCTCATGACTATGCTACTAAATTTGCCATAATATACAAAACTTGCATAAACTAAACACAGGGTAAACAGGATAAGGTTGCTTTCCATCTCTGCGACCATAACCAACTATAAACAGCGTTGTTGAGCACAGCACGTTTCCCCTTCGCACACCACAACACTAAGTCTCATTTCACCTAGTTTTGCTTATTTGGTTTCAGCTGTCTGTCTCCAATGACTATACCTATATCGTATTGATTATTGCCAAAAAGCATATACCAATGTTAGGGTCCCGGAGGCGGATTACAAATAGCAGTTAATATATTTATATACTTCAAGGTTTTACTTTAAAGTACACAGGCTATTCTGAAAGTTGAAACTCTCCTAGTCAAAAACAACTTTTTTTATACCGAGGCAGCCGCGCAGGCAGAAGCCTAAATGCTGACACACCCCGGCTGCTACGATGATCCAAACGAAATTTTCATACAATAATAAACTACTGCACATCGGCGAAAAAATACCGCTTTTACCTCCTTGTCATTTACTGCTGTTCGATGTTTCCATTCAAAAAAAAAGTGTGTTTTTTTAAATCGGATTAGTAAACAAACAGCTCGGTTTAGCTACACGAAGCGTGGCGCCTGAGTTGGATGATGGCGCACGTCGTATGTTTTCACATAATCTTTTTCTGGAATCCGGGCCGCATTTATAATCGCATTTTTTCCAAACCTACTATGTCGCAATCTTAAAACTTAATGTGTGTGCTATTAGCAAAATTTGCTTATTTTTATCGACCTTCATATGCCGTATAAAAGAATATTCTAACTTTAAGAATATCCTTTCAAGTAAAAGGAGCTAAACATGACAAGCCACACCTGTGTATTTGATAGCTGATCTTCAGCCCAACTACCAGTATGCTTGAATTTCTACGTCTAATTTCAATACCGAATCAGTCAATCACATGTATCGATATATCTTCCTGATTGGAAGCACCTCGGACTTCCAAATGCCCATCATTCTACCTTGCAGTCGCTCATCCTTTGGCATTGCACAAACTAATCGGATACACATCAGAAAATGAAACCAAGCGTACAGCGCAAGGTATTGTTGCTTCTACAAAGGGCTGCTCTGCAGTTCACAGTGGTGGCAGCATATTATTGAAATTCTTGGCAGATTCCTGCTACCTGCACAATAGACCTCATAATTATTTCGATATCAAAGTTTCTAGTATAACGATAGTGTTGACATTATTGGTATGAAACTTGACAGATATGACGGGTTGATGTGAATATTAACGACCTCATTCTACGCGAAGTAAGGGGTTTTCTTCCTTATGCCAAATGAACCTCTCAAAAAAAAAGCAGCATAGTAGCACAGAATGACGCACTAACTATGTGTCAAAAAATGTTCAATGGATTGGTTCATTTCTTGACTACTTATATTTCATCAAGCTGAATTAAAAATCTCATTTATTGAAGTTGTGTTCATAGATCCTACATTGCGAAAGTAAATCTCAATTAATTAAAAAATCACTAATGGCTAAATCGAATTCAGTTTTTGCAAATCAATCAATGTGAAAGCTTCATTTTATATAGATTATATTACATATCATGCCTATGGCTAAAAATATATTGCTTCTGTATACATTTAAAATACGTACTTCTTAGGAAAGGGGTGAAATAAGAGGAGGAGGATAGTAGACGTAGGATAAAACCTTATTATTTTCAATGTCACTTCTATAGAAACATTCATGTTGAAGCCAATGATTGAACATAGCGCCTAAGCTGCTTGATTAGGATTATTTCTTTCTTGCTTACTGATTTATTAAGATCCGAACATAACATTCAAATATTTCTTCCATTGCCCACTTTGCTTTCATAACGGCTGTGTTTTGCTATTTGGATTCATTTAGGACGCACAAATCATCTGCATATGTGACATCGTTTGTGCTGTTTTCTACCAGCAGATCAGCAATGCATGGGTTCCACAGGTGGAGATCGAGGATGTAGCCCTGTGGTACTCCATAGCGTTGCTGATATATTTTTGTTTTGGCATGATTATTTCTGCTGCGTATTTGTCGACTGAGCAAATAGTTTTATATAATTTTGGTAAAATTGTTAGAGACGGCCGTTGGTTGTAACTTAAATAATAAATAAGAGCAGTATGAGTAATAGAGTCCAAGGGGTGACTGTTTATATTTCCCTAGGTTGAATGAATACCTCATTTGTTAGAGTTGTATTCAAAGATTCTACATTGCAAATGTATTTCCTGGTGGTTAAAAAAAAATCCTAATGGTTAAAACGAATCCTGGAGTGCACAAAGTATATTTTTCATGGAATTATAAACATGCCAGGACCA